GGCCGGGCTCTGCAGCACACGTGTCCACTGGTCGGTCGGCAAGTTCTTGGCTGGCTAGTACCGATCTTCTGCCGCAACAAGGCTCAACAGTACCGAGCATGTGTCCACGGCATGTAAGGACATGTCTCACAGTCACAGTCACAGCGAAGCAAAAGCACGACGGTCATGAATGTCTCCAGCAATGTTTCGAAACATGAAGTGGGTACTTGAGCATCATACCTCCTGCGGACGATCATGACTCTGCCCACGGACGGTCGAGGTGGGTTCGTTTGATTGTTGAGAGAAGAGTTTAGCTGCTATGATTCTGCGGCCGAGGCCAGCCGGTCATTACTGGGCCTACAGAGCCCCCGACTCCAGCATCGACGCCGGTCTCCTTCACTCCTCCATGGACCTGGACTCCAGATCCGCAAGGTCCCATCCTCCAAACCATCACACACGACCTTGACATGATTGACCCTGCAGGAGTTGCTCAGCCGGTCCATCCTGCCACGCCTCGAGAGCCTGCCACGCCTGAAGGTGTTGCCACGCCATCACACACGACCTTGACATGATTGACCCTGCAGGAGTTGCTCAGCCGGTCCATCCTGCCACGCCTCGAGAGCCTGCTACGCCTGAAGAAGGTGTTGCCACGCCGGTTCAAGCATACAATTTGTGTCTGATATGTTTCATGCACAGGTGCCGGTCAGACCCAGACTCTTGGAAGGCCGCCAAGAAGTAGAGGCAGGTGGCAAAGTTGAGTCTTAATATAGGCTGGACCGAGCCGAGTCTGTTGCTAAGTCTGGGGGGCCAAAGACGACCCTGAGGAGCGACGACGCCTTCCCGGCTTTTGAACCCCATCCGAGAAGGCCGAGGCAGGTCTAGCTATTGTTTTGACTTGCCTGGTTGTGCCTGTTTGCTGCTGGTGTTTGTTGTTGGGGGGCTGGGCTGATGTCGAGGAGCCGAGGCTGATGATGAAGCTGCCGGTCCTGAGTACTTTGATCCTCACGCCGGTCTAGAGACAGCCTCGTTGCGCAGCGTTGCCACCATCGACAGCTTCGACTCCGCCAAGGTGCCGGTCAGAGAGCCGAGGGTGGGGGCTTCACAGAAGGTCGAAAGGACCGCCGCCAGGATGGGGTGCTACCCCAATGACCCCCTTCCCGGCGGTCGCAGCTCCTCTTCGTCCGGGCCCTCACGTGCCGGTCGAACAGGTGACGGAGACGGAGGCAAAGCCGGGCAGAAAGGCGGAAAAGGCGAACCTGCTGCCGGTCGTGGTGATGGCGGAAAAGGCGAACCTGCTGCCGGTCGTGGTGATGGCGGAAAAGGCGCCAAAGGCGGTGATGGCGGAAAAGGTGCCAAAGGTGATGCCGGTCGCCCCTGGCCATGGGAACGTCGCGCGCCGCGCAACATTCAGGCCGACGCAGCACATGAAAGCCGGTCGTTCCCGCCACTTTCCCCGGAAGGCTCGGATTCTGACAAAGTCACATGAGTGTCGGAGTGTCTGTCGGTCACAAGTTTAAGTGTTAAGTGAACTAGTAAAGTGGTGTTCTGAATTTTCTGTTGCCCCCTGCAGTCGAGCGGCAGCTGCTGCAGCACTTCCTCTCCAAGATGCCGGTCGCATGTCGGCCTGCCTACCCCGAGAACCCCGACAACGACGATGCTCGGCCGTCGAATGACCCTGGCCCGCCGGTCGCAGGAACAACAGGACTTCGAGAAGTCCAAACGAAGGTCCTAGCGAGCTCCCCAGCTGTGTTCATGGTCCTCCGACACCTGGCGGTGGACTGGGCCAGCTGGGCCGAGCCTTGACTAATCTGGCGTGTGTTCATTCATTGCCGGTCGAGCTATTGAGTCTGTGTGCATGTGTTCAGTCATTGCCGGTCGAGCTCTCGAGTCTGTGTGCAGCCAAGAACATGTTAGCTCTGATGGAGACAGAGCACAGCGCCGGTCGGGTGTACGCCCTCATGATCGTCTTCCGGTTGTGCCGCCACGCTTTGTCGTGGGATATGGCGGTCCCACCGATCTGGCAGCTTGCCTGCAATGTGGTGAGTTGATTTGAAATGAAGCTCTTGGTGTCAGTGTGCCGGTCTGATTGATTCAGTCAGGTGGTCGCCCGACCGTGTCATCGCGGCTAACACCCGCGAAAAGATGCATCTCTTGATGCGTGATGTGGAGTGGCGGCTGGGCGACAACGCGAGCCGGTCGTACTACCACAGTAGACACGGACAAGACAGCACGTCGGTCGGCGATATCTTCTTCCAGTCCGACGGTTGCCGGCAGGAGGCCGGACTGAATGGGTTCAGATCAATAACGAAACATTCTGCCAGTGTGTCAGGCTCAGGCAGCCAGACGCCGGTCGGCCAGCCAGGGGCCACCTCCGCGTCGGGATCCACGTCCGCATCCGGACCCTCCCCAGGCTTGACATTCTGTCATTGTGTTGTGTGGTTGTTTGCAGGAGTGTATCATAATCACTTGTCCTGCCAGGCAAGCACATTGCCGACGGTCCGGCAGAGCGGGGAAGACATCATTGCAGCGATGTTACGGGTCCACCAAGAGCAAATGAGCAGACCACCTGCCGGTCAGGCCCCGCCCGTACCCAAAGCGTCGTTTGCCGGCAAATAACAAACTCATCTTTAAAATTATTTTAGATATAATATTTATAACTCTGCTGGCTGCTTCTATTAATATCATGCGAGCATGTGCATTTTATCAATTTGCTACGTCCAGCCAAGCCAAGGGGCCCACCAGATCCGCCGGCCAGCGACGACGGATCCACAGCAACTCGTCAATCACAGATCAAGTCGTTTTGTTATGTGTGGTGTGCGCATTCTCACAATGCCAGGAGCAAGGCCGTGCTGACGGTAGCAGGGGAGGCAACCAAGCTCCGCAGCAGGACTCATGATCAATTCACCGTCAGTTGGTTTCAATCACACACAAATCCTGGATTGCATCGAAGGACAGCTCGGGCCCAGGCGACGGTCCTGCTTCACAACAGGACTCATGCGTGATTAATGCTCCTTGTGATGTGCCACAGAATTTCAGACTGGATTGCACCGAAGGATGGAAGCTGGGGCCAAGGCGACGGTCAGGCTACGCAGCAGGACACGTGAATGTGCTTGTGTGGCAAAGAAATGAATGCACAGTGTATTGAACCACAGGACGGAACCTTGGGAAGCATGGCCTGGGGACAAAGCGGCGGTCAGGCTTCGTGGCAGGACTTCTCAAGAGTTCTTTTTGAGACAGCTCCACCCAATCCGAGGACGCGACCTGGGATTCCTGGGGCCAAGGCGACGGTCAGCCATCGCAGCAGGACTCGTTCAGGTTTCTTTTGAACACTCACTAAATTTCACAGTGGATCATTGCATTGCATCGAAGGATGCAAGCTGGGGACGAGGGGACGGTCGGGCTTCGGCTCGAAGCTGGGGATACTTCAACAATCAGGCTTCGCAGCAGGACCCATGAACGTGCCTTTATATTGACTCATTGAACCGTAGGACCAAACGGGGGGAAGCATGGCCTGGGGGCAAGGCGCCGGTCAGGCTTCGTGGCAGGACTTCTCAAGAGTTCTTTTTCAGACAACTCCATCCAATCCAAGGACTCAACCTGGGATGCCTGGGGCCAAGGCGACGGTCAGCCATCACAGCAGCAGGACTCGTTCAGGATTCCTTTGTCACTTTTGTCACTAGTGGATAACTGATAGCTTCGAATCGAAGGATCCAAGCTGGGGACAAGGTGATGGTCAGGCTACGCAGCAGGACTTGCAACCATGTCTTTCTAGCAGAATGTTATGTTATC